CCCCCCGGCTACGGGCCTGAGATAGCGACAGAGGTACATGTAGAAAGGTAACTGGCAAAGGGAGATAGGAACGCTCCTAGCCATGCAAAATAAAAAATAAAAAAAATAGGTGATTTATGTCAACAAGAGCTACTTGTTGTCATAAAAATGTATATTTTGAATCAGGTTGCATGCAGTGTGTATTAAGGTGCAATATTTCAGCCTGTTGTAACCATAACACAACACCCATATGCTTGAGCCTAAATAAATAAAGAATAATGTAACAGAGAAAACAAATTTATCTTTATCATGGCTATATGTGTACTACGCACTCGTGCAATGTGGCAGAAGAAAAACCTGTTACCACACATTCATAGCACTGATAGGCTGGATGGAGATGGACAACATTCGTGTTTGTTAAACTCTTGACTAATCATAATTACTTACATGATATCCGTCATATCTGAGCCAAAATAAACTTGGGGTAAGGACTTTCTTAGTTTTCAGGGGTATTTATTGGAACCTTGCTTCTGTGAAGCTTTCATTTTATATTTACATATATATGTGGCGGTTGAAGTGTACTTGAAGCAGATGAATTATTGAGAAAAGTTCCTATTGGAAGGGTTCAAAATATTTTGATGCACGAGAACCTAGGTGGTTAAAGAATTTAGGAGACAAATCAAATTGAAAACGAAAAGAGATTGAAATCTTAAAGATATATCTGCAGCGAGCGTGGGTTATCAGTAAAACACATAAAAAGCACTTTTACTAGTTTCTTATACGACTCAAATAAAGTCGACATGCCAGGGGATAAACCGAATCGATCACTTGATGTGCCATAAAAGAGCTTTACAACTGCACCTCCTTCACTTTTTTTGGTCGTAAATTGACCTACTTATCTGACCTACTTATCTGCCCCGTTAATATACAGCACAAGAAGTGAGCAGAAAATATCCGTTCATATTTTATTTTTAGGGTAATATGATACGATTTTTAACTGGTATTTCTTTAAGTTATACTATTCGAAACCATGTTGGAATTTCGTCGGCTTTCGTGGCAAATATCGAACTGCCAGTGCATATTCAACCAAGCTCAGTCAAATTACATTAACTTACTAAATATGTATATGTATATCTATATTGTTGAATGAAAAACTTGTTCATATTTTTGCATCAGATTACCCATGTGGCTTGTTGCAGCTTAGTCCTTTCAATGCAGACATTGAACGCGCTGGTAAATGATTTAATTTAACGCTCGACTCCCGTGAGATGTTTTTCGATTAAAATGATGAAAATATTCACCTCTTTCCCTGATATACATTAAGCTAATCTTCTCAGCTTTTGCATACGTGACAAAACCATGAGTGTTGTATTCCCTTCCTAAAAGAGTTAAGTGGAAATAATCGTCCATTTAAGGATATTGTCACTCTTCGCCCAAAGCTTCTCATTTACTGCCTTACATACATTCTTTGGGGGATAACAGATAATCTTCAGTGTTCAGTGACTAAATAAATTAACATTTACACAAATGTCATCTTATCCGTGACGTCATAATTGCAATTTTGGGGTAAAAACTGAAAAATCGGTTTCTCAAATTTCTCTTTTACCTGAGCACCCACGATCACCGTTTCAACGCCGATTTAATGACACCAATTAGTACTCCAGCGATTTTCCTTAAAAGTCTTAGTTCAGATTTTATCGTTGATAAAGCAAAGTAATTCTTTTGTTTAATGAAAACCAATAATTGGGGGGGGGGGGGCTCATAAGTCCATTACAAAAACATTTTAACCAAAATGACGTTAGGCAGTTAAAATAATCAGCATATCTTAACATCAGATTATTCTGAATCGGCGGAAGCTCGCGGTTTTGAAAATACAGCCGTATATTATCTGAGGAATAACAGTTAAATTTCATTCTCTTTTCGGTGCTTGCATGGAGTTAGCAGATCTATGCATTTCATTTCTATTCACACGAAGTTATCTGCCAAATGACTTCAGACACCACAGGGCCACCATCTAGCGTCACCATATGTTCATTCAACTAGTATCTAATTCTAATTTGCCATTTAGTGTCAGTAACTCAATTTTAAGGCCTCATAATGATCTGCTATTTCGTTCTGGCTCTTCTAGATATTAGGTCATTGTGGATTTTACAACCTATAATTTGGAAATAATGATTTAAAGATATATTCGAATTCAAAGGGGAATAAATGCTTTGTAAGGGCCGTGTAGAATGACATTCTGTATCTTTTTACACTTATAAACGACTTTAAAAGCTGAGTTCCACAGCACATTCCCATAAAATGACAGCCAGACATACAAGACAAACAACAGAATATAAGATAACCATTAGAAGACAAACCCCCGTGACTGAAAGGACACTTCACAATGTCACGTACTGTGACAGCATGAGAGCTAAAATGCACAATACATTTAATACTTTCCTGTCCAGTGTCTACTTATTTAAAACTAAAAGAGGGAAAACGAGAGCCAGACTGTTTACAATATAAAATATTTAAAGCTACAAAAGATGTCAAAATGCAGACTTGTGTAAAATGTAACGCGAATAACACCAATAATTAAAATTGCAAGGATATAGAGAAAGATGGATTATATGGGTAATAAATGAACACATCGTAAAACATGGTGAATGTCACTAAGAGAACCTGAGGTAAGTGGCTCAATCGCAGTGATTCTTTTAGTAACCAGGAGAGAAACATTAGAAAGTAAGAAAAGACCCAAGTGAGTGGGATTTTAAATGACAATTTAAAGAGGCTGTCAAGATGAAAGAAGAGAGTGATAGGTAATTAACAAGGAAAACTGAAGAATAAGAACAAGCATGTGTGAGAGACGTGAAGTGAAGAAACGTGCACCAGCACCCTGGTCAATCGTAACAAATAATCTTCATGACTGCCGATTTATTTTAAGAAATATTATCGATTTAACAATCACTAATCACAGTACGGTGGCTACAGCACTCAGAACCGTCTTGTAGCTTAACCCGCTCCAGAAACACCCGAGTCCAAATATAGTGCCAGATAATTAATTATTTTCATGCGGTGGCACTTATGGGCTTCCGTATTTTAGAAAAAGTCTAAATACTTGCTATCATTTGGCAAGTTGCTGTATTTTTGTCGCAGAACATGCTAAAACTGCACCAGTGGTATACATATTTAATAGCGTTACAAGATAAAATTACATTGTGACAAGTGCGTTGATTGTCACAAAGCACTTCTAGTAGCATAAATAATGAAAAGGCATTGAATGGCCCATTTTTCTACATGTACGTGTGATTTTGACAACCAAAGAAATGGTTCATTTATTATTGATTGATACTTCATAAAGGTATCATTAACAGTAAATCCAAAGCGTAACCTTGGTGTTTTTGTGTTCAAAATTATACTTATGGTACTGTGGCGCAATTGTTTCATGTAAAGCAAATTGCAAGAAATGGTAAGTGAAAAAAACTGAAGGATATTTGCACTTGAAAAAGACCCGTCCTTAAGGATCGAAAAAAGTCCAAAACAAAAATTCTCCCAAAAATGTGACGACAGATAGTGTATGCAGTACTACCATAGAGAGTGAAAATAAAATCCTTCGAATACACAATTTGACTGCATGACCTCTATATCACACATATTAAGGGGTTTGTTTACCAACGTCAACGCGACATTTCAGTTTATCTCAGTGCCCACACCACTTACAGCGAAGCAAAGTACACGCTCCTCCTTAAACATTAAGGTAAGAGAGCAACCTGACAAATGTGATATCGGATGTTATCTCCGTTAACGGGAATGCCATGCCTGCTACATCAATAAAAGATGCTTCTTATAGCATGACTGGCACCTGCAACTACATATAAATATCACAAGCGATTGGTTGGGAAAACCAATTAAATGAGTTGGCTTCCTCACAACTGGTTACATTAGCTTTCTTCATCTATTTAAACCGTACAGGAAACATGGTGAGTTTACGGAAGGGGGCCGTTCTATTTCCTTCCAATGCTTTAGAGTCTCATCGACATTTTAGCAGCACGCAATAACAGTTAACTCTAAGAGAATATCGTGAAGGATTGGAGTTAATTTTAATAGCCAGTCGTTAAAAGGATTATTTAAGCATATGTATGATCGGGTTCGAAGCACCGAAAGCTTCAAAGAAGGAAGAAGAATCACACTTGCGTAATCATTTTTCTCAGATAAGAAGCTGAAAAAGATCTGGACCATCGTATGCATTGCTGCTAATTTATTTGCCGTGCAAATGCTGCAACGTTATGGCATATCAATTGTCTGCTTTATGTTTCTGTTCTACCAACGGGATAATAAAATGATTCTGCGCGTGCATGAGTAAGCAAGACTGATCAACAACTGATACTGCAATTTACGATTTTACTACCGTACATCAGTTAAGTTAGAGATGGAGAAGCCGTGCAGCACCCGTACAAATACACTAGTGAAAGTAGGCACCAGACGGTCAAGATGGTGTTCAACTTGTCTGGCATGTCTACCAAGTCCTGGGAAAATCTTCAGTTCGGTTCCAGCCTATTTGTGTTATAATCTTATCGTAATCGCCCTTGCAGCGGTGGCCATCTCTCACATAGAAAACTCCGGAAGAGACTCTGTGATCCCAAACTACAATACCACAGAAATGAGACACAAACTTGTGGTACTATCGTGTGGTAACGAAACCACATGCATTGACATCATAACGATGTATCTGGCTAACCATACCAAGGGCGAATATATACACGATGCTATATTGGATTATGAAATGAAACTGACCAAGGCCTTTGAGGCAGGGTACCGACTTGGGGCGTCTGGGCAATGGGAGCCTCCGCCCACTTGGTCTTTCTGGAGTGGGATATACTTCGTGGCCACTGTCGTTTCCACTATAGGTAACTGTGTGTGTGTGTGTGTGTGTGTGTGTGTGTGAGTGTGAGAGAGAGAGAGAGAGAGAGAGAGAGAGAGAGAGAGAGAGAGAGATTTTGCGATTAAAAGTTCAAATCTGTACATCACTATAGAGAAATAAGGTGCTTTGCAAGAAACAATGTCAGTTCAATTAAACTGCTCTTTAATGCATGCTTTATTTCAAATGTTTTGTAATTAACAGATGTAAGTAGCATTTATAACTTTCCTTTTATATTTCAAAATATGATTACTTTTTCCCTAGGTTACGGAAACATTGCCCCAAAGACAGTATGGGGTCGCGTGATGACTATGTTTACCGCTATTATCGGAATACCACTGACACTCGTTCTGCTGGCTAAGGTTGCAGATCGCGTCTGTGCTGCATTGCACAAACTGTACAAACTAACAAATAAAATACATTGCTGCATACCAAAATGCCGTCGGGAAAAACCACGGAAAAAACCAAGAAACCAACCAAAAGATCGGGTGATACAAACAACATCAAGGTATGGTCAAACGACAAGTATGCAACTAGTTGACGTCATCTCCGAAGAAGACCAGGTTTGGGAACCCAGAACCACGCGGTCTGATTGCAACGCAGGAAACGTCCAATCCATCTCGTGCGTAAGTGTCAGAACCCAAACCGAAAAAATAAAAAAACGTAAAACGTACATCCCCGTCTACTGGGCCGTGACAATCCTCTTCCTGCACCTGTTGCTGGGAACGATCCTTTTCTCTCTGTGTGAACCGTGGACGTACTTCGAAAGTTTCTACTTCAGTTTTATCACCATCACCACTATCGGACTAGGGGACATTGTTCCTTCAATAACTAACGAACTCCCTATACTGGTGGCCAGAGATTGTTACATCATTCTGGGCCTGGTAGTTATGTCTATGGCAGTAAACGTCATCGCCATGAAGATACATAAGGGTGAAGATTATGGCGACAGTGACGATGACGATGAGGAAGAAGAAGACTCAGGGCACAGCAAAGATGATGATCCGAGATAAGAAATAAAGAAATACAAGGGAAAGGGAAAGAGAGGATTATGGAAACAATAAAGAAAATAAAGACAGGGGCGAAAAAGAATGAGGACAACCAGAAGAACCGTCCGTCGTGAGACATAAAAGATACGCTAGAGAAATACATGTACGAAGGCTTAAGAATCAAGAGAATGAAGAATGGATTCGTGATAGGCCTAATGATTCGACATCAAACGTTGGCAAAATACTTGAATTGGCGGCCCGGTGGGGAATTCTAAGAGTGAAATATGAGATTAAAACATCCTGAGACTTGTCACTGTGATTGTTTTATATGCATTATTGATATAGAGACCCTACGGTCGATCAACTGTATCAAGTTTTAACTGAAAGGCAGCACAGAATTAAGTAATTGAAACAATACTTTTTTATTGACTTCAGACGATGCAACTTTGATGTGCATTATAGTGCAAGTGACAGTGACATGTTCGAACATGACACAAAATACTTATCTCATCACATCACCATCATACGGGGGGGGAGGGGGGCGGGGAGGGACAATAACTCGAAATCAGATTGCTTTCAGATTGGTTTAATCAGAAAGGCATTTGCTGTCTTCTGATCACTGTGCTATCTCAGCAACAGGCCGGTTGACAGTGATTTCTATCTATCCTAGCTACACGGTTCAGCAAGCGACCTGTAAACTCTGTTTAAATTTATTTTTTTACGGGACACAATAGTGCCTGTCACATAAAAGAGCTATACCTCGAAAACTAGTCTTAGCTTTAAGTTGTGCCTTCTTTGACACAAGGTAAACCTCCAACAGAATGAAACACTGCACTTTTTTCATAACAGGACTGACATGTTTCAGATCAATACTAACTTTAATTAAATGGACAACTACGAATTGATCATGAACTGAAGTCGACTAAATTTTGGGTCTAGAAATTCAAACCAATTATGGGGCTCTAGTTGTTTTGAAAAACTGGTCCAGGGCAGAACTCAACTTTTAACTAAAATAGTGCTGAACCAAATCAAGCTGTCAGAACTGGTCTGTAAAATAACGTTTCTTAAAATATTTTTATGATCAGCCCAAGGAAGCAATTTGTTTGCACCTATTCCTTTTGTAACACCTGTCTTTTAAAAGAGATCAGAACAACGAGGTGTCAGGTGCGTTAAGAGATGAATTTAAGACAACAAATGGCGTTTCAGACATTTTTTCTCGAATAGAGCACTATACACCGCCTACATAATGTCAACCTGTTGTTATATTTTATTCAAAATGCCATACGTGTGGGAAATAGTCTTGAACGATTTCAGTTGAAATAAGACGCCTCCTGCGTCATCTCATAATTTAACTCAATCATTGCACTGTGTGTGAACGGCAAAGAAATACATAGTGTTGGGGGGAGGGGGTGATGCCATACTCCCTTTTTTAACATTTTTTTATAAAAATGTATTATTATATGAGGTGTTTTACATTAAAAATTCAAACCAGGATGCCTGACAGCTATTGGGTTTGACATTGGAGATAATAGCTTTTTTCTTGTAGATAGGGGCCTATAGTTTCGAGTTGTTGATATTTGCGCATGGTTTTTCTTTATTAATGGAGAAATTGGGTATAAATAGTTTTTTACTGTCACTGAACTCTTTGCCTCAGAAATAGGTTATGCCTTTGTATGCATTACATAGTGCGATATTGATGCGAATGTTGACTTTTTTATTTTCGGTGTCTGGTAAGTAAAACCGCGCCGGGGAACATCCACCACTTAGTTGACTCAATTGATCAGGTGTGCGTTAAAATTAACAATAAAAACAAATATAACCTGTTGAGGATCAATCATCGCACTACTGGGTCTTCAATACCGTTCATTATATAACAATGTGAGAAGAGAAATGTTGAGCAGAAAGGTGAAAATGGGTTGCAGTCTCTTTCCGTTCATCAAGAATTTGAATGTCTACTGGAGACTTCTCTCTGAGACTCCTCCCAGAGGGAGGGCGTAAACTCCCAAGCCGATAGTAGTTTGGGTCTCCTTTTCACACAGTTGACTCAATAGAGTATTATATATGAACGTAGTAAATGCACGCATGCATATGTTGGAGTTCTTCGTCCCGTCTCAAATGTGCCCTAGAATATAGCCTAGGTGCTGAGCATCTGAACTCCGCGATTTTAGTGTTCATTTATAGTGAGCTTTCGGATGCACACTAAATCGGGACATTTGAAGAGCTGAGCACATGGGTTTTATTTTATGGACACATTTTAAACGAAGAAAGGCAATAAATGTAGTTACTCCGTGTTCGTATCATTTTGAGTGTACTTCATGACTTGCGCATAAAAAAAGACAAGTCTTACGTATCTACTCAAAAGTTTTGAATTTTAATTGTTACAAAACTATTAACACTGGTTACTCTAAACACCCGAAATGGTGTAACATTTCTCCTTGCTGAACTTTCTACTACAGCCAGAGACCGAGATTGGCGGCGCTCGACTGCATCAAATGCACAAGGTCTTTCGAAAATGATAGGCACGAGAAAATGAGGCAGCAAGAGAGTGCAGGTGTGGCAGGAGTGGTAGTCCGTTCCTCATTACTTTGTACAGGTGACATTCGTCCTATATACTAACCCCAATACCCCGACTAACCCTAACCTGTACTAATCATATGGGACCCCATATGGGACTTCCATTCCTAGGACTTCCATTCCTGTACATGTCACACCTGCACAGAATAGTAGGACCTACCCATGCCTGTTAGTGTCACCATAGGCCTACATGTAGACTTCCAGTGCCCGATATGCCAGAGACATTGCAAATCCAGAGTTGGGCTACTTATCCAAACAGCAGTAGCTCACAGAGTCTTCCTCCAATCTAGGAACAACTATTATTTATTATACTCTAAATAACATTTCGAATTCTTTTCCTTGTTCTCTTCAAATATATAAAGACAAAAATGTAAAATACTAATTTTTTTGGCTTGGCATTCTATACTTGGGTTTTTCCCAGCTCGTCCCGTTTGAGCAGAATTTTTTTGTTATTAAAAAATAACACAATTAAAAAAAAATGAGAACAATATAGAGTAACGAAACGCTGTCTATTGCTAGGAAAGTCCATGAATTACACAAGGCATAAATTTAACATGTTTTCCGTTTTTACATATTAACATATGGAGTAAATTACGCCAAAAATGACCTTTTTCTCTGCATTGTTTTCGTTCTATGCCAAAATAAAAAATAAAATAAAATAAAAATAATAATAATTTTTACCAACGTCATAAATTGCAGTCATTACATTAGAAAAGCAAATCTGATTATCAATTATCAGCCATGATAATATTCTTTGTGTTAATAAATATCCAAATATATTAACACCACAATGTCTTTGAGGGGAGGGGTATATAGGAGCCATTGCCAAAAAGATGGCGCCAGATTCATCAGGTGATTTAGATTGAGAGCCTGTCGGCGTTTCTGAGATAAACCTAGAGCTGGCGAAAAAAAGCATGTATGCAGTACTTACAATTACTTTCATCGAAGAAGAAGAAGCTTACTAGGGCCAGAAATGTTCAAAAACAAACATATACGATTTGATGAGCAGGGAAACATAAATCTACTCAATCGTATTCGAATTGTGGCCAAGGAAAGGTCGTGCGACCTGAGACTAGTCTGTCCACTGGGAAATATCGGCGAAGGTATTCCAACATTCTGTTTGAACAATGCGGCAGTACACCATCCTGCTAGAAGATTACAGTGTCTATATCGACTCCCCGGTTCCTCCTTAACAATTTCATTAGAAACATTTTAGAGGGAAAACAAAATAGGCCGTTTTTTATGGACCACCCTATATTCTAATAGGTGTACTGATGGTTTGTTTTTTTTTTTTTTTTTAGACTGTCAGTAGTAATATACATGAACTGATCATCAATACCGTTTACGATTTTTAGGTTTGTCATAACTTCCAAGTGTACAAAACATAGAGGCCACGGAAGACCGTATCACGTACAAAACCTCGCAGCCACACCCTGTCTTCTCAAGGAGTAGGCACGGAAGATAGACAAATCGCATTTCAAATCTAACCTAGAGGTGCTCGTTTATGCCTTTAGATCTGCAGTAATGAGTAATGAAATATTGTTCAATGACATAAATATAGAACTCTTTACCAGGGTACAGTTGACTTTGTTTTTGTGCCAGAATCCTTGCAGGACCAAAATGTTCACGGCTAGTCGGTAGTCAGAGAAATGTCTATGAATAGCCTATCTGTGAACCTGGTAAAGGATAGCAATATTGTATCTCAAACAGGTTCAGGGGATGCTTTTGAAGAATATTTATCAAATAAAGTTAAATGTAAAAACATATTACTCCTGTCGACAAATATCTGATAAATGCTTAAGTGCAGGAGGACCACGATGTTCTGCAGCATTGACCCTACCTAGTTGAGACGACACGGACTCAGTGGATCGAGGTAATAAAAGTCAAAGCAATGGTTGTCCACCTTGCGTTTGTCACATCTAACACAATTTACGTCATTTACGGCTAAACCAACTTCTATTTCAGATTAAAAGAAAAACATTAATATAGTAATTTGTTTTTGTTTCAGCCAGTTTATTTGGACTTTGACACAGTCAGACTATTCTGGATAATTTGTTATGTAAATTCTGTGGGCGGGCATCCATTATAAGTTTAATTTATCTGGGTAAGCTGAAAGAAATTGAAAGATAAGCATCCGTCAAAAGAATGACGATACTTCCAAGGAGCGAAAACTCATTTTGATAAAAAAAGCACACTGAGGCCTATAACGTTAACATGTGCTAGGATTGTGTTTTGTCTTTTCATAATTCATCTTGTTATTTAGGCCTACTTATAAACAACCAACATACCAAACTACATTGTTTGTCTTCTAGTATGCATTTCAAATAGAAATGCATACTAGAGGAAATAAATGTAAAAAAATTACGATTTTTAGCCTATCTATGGTCACCAGGTTCTTTTGCAAATATACAGAGAGAGTGCATGGATACTGTATTTATTTATTTATGTAAAGATTTGACAATATTGGCTTGTTTGAGCTATTATCATAACCGACCTATATGACACATCTCGTCATAGATGTCAGATACTGGTAGTCTCGTATAAATGTTTGGTTTATCAAACACTGCGATGTGAGTCACATACAAAACTCCCCTTATTTGGTACAAAAAGGAAAGAGCAATCAAGAACAAGAAAATAAAAACTCTTTTCTGACTTACTTGTACCTACAATCCAACATGTTACGTTGGATCCTACCTTATTAAATTGACAATTGGCTGCCTTTTTTGCTCTATACGTCGCTCTCAAAACTATAGGCCTACAGTGATTTAGCACCAGAACTGAGTGTTGCATATATCTGCTTTCTGCCGTCTGTTCTTACCGCAGTGAAGTATTTAATGATATATATATATATATATATATATATATATATATATATATATATATGAGACAGAATATACCTTGGATAGTTACACGTTGATTCCTACCCATGTAGCCTCTCTTTCAATATAGCGTTTTCAAGAATCCCCGAAGTAGTCGAAGTCTCAACCGAGGCCATTGCATGGACACGCATTTAACTGACAGGTATTCCGGTGTACAAAAGCAATCAATAGAGTTCTAAACGCCATGACCTACTTTACTTTATAAGCGATAGAATAAGCTTAAGTTTACATGTGCTGGCCTAGTCGTGTGGTTACTTCGTTTCACTTTAAACTTATGCATACAACTCTATTCACGTAGAGAGGTTCGCTACCCGTCACCACTGACGCCATCCGGCACTTTTTCTTTCATACAGATTCCAACCAACGCCCCTCTATTTTGCGAGTCAAAAACAAGCCTTAACAGCAACGTTAAAAAAAAAAAAAAAAAAAAAAAAAAAAAAAACCGGCCTTGTCACTGTGTGTCCAGTTGTGATTAGTTTTGAAAGAAATTCGCTGATGTTCGTGAACCTTAAGTTTAATTACTGCCTTGCAAGAAAAAAAATACATGCATGTTATTTTAATACAGCTGTTGGATCTTGCTAAGCCTGCATTTCCTGCCTACATGAAAAAAAAAAAAAAAAAAAAAAAAAAAAAAAAAAAAACAGAAATGCACACTTAATGGTAAGAGTGGCTTGATATTTAAATCTTGAAAACAGGTTTCAATATATATTTAATATAATTTTGCACACGAAGGTAAACCTCGATCTTAAATTTTTTAATTTCTCAATTTTTGGGAAATCACTACCAAGCAAATGTTTCATTTGTTATTATTATTATTATTATTATTATTATTATTATTATTATTATTATTATATTCATCATGTATGATAAAAGTTAACTTAAAAAATAAAAAGACAAATTTCGAAAACAAATAACGTAAGTTATTTTATTTGGGCACTCCACACGTCTCGTTTTGGCTGTTCCCACAACTGAGCATGTGCACAAACCAACGTGGTGAAATCTTCCGGTTATCATTACTGTGGAAGAAAGTCGGCATATTTTGGCAAATATATCGGTGGCTTTCTCATCAAAATCATAATTGGCAGATTCGCCACGTGAGGATATAATATTAATTGAACAGAAGGCGAAGAAATGCCGAAGAAAGGCAAGAAAGGCAAAACGAAGGATGACTGGCCGGAGGACGAAGCCGAACTGGCCGAGAAAATGAACACATTGTCCACCGGCGAAGACACGAAGAAGAAAAAGAAAAGTAAAAAACTCCAATCTCTCAAAGATGACATTGAAGACGATGATGACGATTTAAAACTTGTCGAAAGGACTGAAAAGGATGCTAAGAGTGCGGGTGATGCCAATGTCAATGACTCGAAGTCGAAAAAGAGTGGAAATAATGAAGAGGACGACGAAGATGAAAAGTCTGACGAGGAGAAGGAGTTTGATGAGATGTATAATAGTGACGTGGAGAAGGAGGAGGAGGCAAAAGGTAAGAGTAGTAGATATTTAGAATGGACAAGTAGGACATCTGTGGAAGCCTAGGACTAAGACTATACTGATTTGACCAAGGGTTCTTTCCGAGTTAAATGCATGTGCCATCTCACATTCCATATGCCAGCAAATATTTTCTGCCCTCTATGATCACTCTCAGATGTTACATTGATTGGTTAATCAACCTGACCTTACTCCGACAATGATCCCAAACCCAGTGAAGTATTTTGTAAAAATAAATTCAACAAAACCACCATTTCCACCCCATATAGATCATTAAATATTGGATGTTTATGAAACACAATCTTGGGAAATAAGAGTTAAAATCCAAATAAAATAAAAGCAGACAATGGATCTCTCTCAAAATTGGTACTGTAAACTTGTTTGTTTGTAAATCATAGGTATCAAAATTCCAGAATCAGACCTAAATGCCTTTGTTGAACAAAAACATTTTTATGGAGTTTTATTCCAGGACTTGGCAAAACCAGATTGTTTACACCAGTCCAGTGGCACACCTCATAATTTTAGTACAGCCAGTTCCACCTCAACTCAGAGCCTACTTTATTGAGCCTTTGATGGGTCAACATTAAATTTTAATTTTGCGTTATTTGTTCCCATTTCAGATGACACAGCTGCCACTGCTAAACTGAGCAAAAAAGAACTGAAAAAATTGAAAAAACAGGTAAATAATGGGTCATTGTCAATCATGTTGTCATGCCCAACACAAATGATGTGACACCAGATAGATTTGTGATGTAATAGTATTTTCATTAATATACAGTTTTTTAGTAACCTTCATGAACTTTCAGACATTTGATGCAAATGTTAACAATCATGTCCAGCAGTTTTGAAAACACCTAGCTTACAAAATGACCAAGACAAAAATTTAACAGTGAAGACAAAGAGAAGCTTTAGAAAAAGAGTCGAGCAAACCAACAGCTTGCCACAAAGATATATCTGTGTGTGTAATCACTGTAATGTTTTTTTTTTTGTCTGCAGGAAGAATATAAGAAACAGCTAGAAAATATGGGAGACAATGAGCAGTTCTCACTGTCCCAGGCAGAGTCATCTGCCAAGGGAGCCATCTTGGAAGGGCAAACTGATATTAAGGTAGGCATTAAGATGTGTTGTTTTCTTTTCCTGGACATTGAAGTTTGATGGCTCTTATGGACTCCGTTATATTCTGACCAGTAACAATATGATTTTAAGATATTTCATAAATCTGGACCAAGGCTCAAGGTTGACTAGGGAGTATTCTGACTTCAACCCTGTATAGCATAGTGATGGTATGAATAGGCAGAATTGTTGTTACCTGTCCATTTGATTACACACCAGAGACTGTGAGTTCCCCCATTTGTTTGGGCATTTAGGATTGATCAGTTGAGTTTTCGTCAGTTTCTGTTCTTGCAATCATTAATCGTAATCTTTTCTAGGTTGAAAATTTTTCTATCTCTGCTAGAGGTCAGGAACTTTTTGTGAATGCTACATTGAATATTGTTGCCAACAGAAGATATGGTCTTGTAGGACCTAATGGGTATGACATGCACAAGCATATGCGCATGCATGCGCACACATACACGTCTAAGCACACACTCTTGCAGACACTTAATTAATGATGATGTACTTAAATGACACATCCATTGCTTTCTGTGGTATCAGGATGAAATATTGCTAATTAAAAGTGAATGGCAAATTATTACTTTAAGAAATTGTCATTGGAACAATTTATTTCCCAAAATTTGAAAATTATCAATGAATCCTCAAAAACCTTTTTCTCTAACTCCAAAATGATAGTAAGACAACTACAGTTTATCTGTTATTAATGATTGGATGCAGTGTAACTTGAGTGTGTAATTACTGTGTATTTTCACTCTCCAGACATGGTAAAACCACATTGCTCAAACACATAGCCAGCAGAGCACTGAAGATCCCACCCAAGATTGATGTCCTGCTTTGTGAACAAGGTGAGTTGAGTGCAACACAGGTTGAATGCTATCGTTGAACAAATCTTTGTGTCATTGGGAAAACATGTTTTCAGTTATAATAGATATAAAAAAAATTCAGATAGGTGAATCATTGTTGAAAGCTTTGAATGTTAGCCTATCTTTGCTAGCTCACTTGCCACAAGGACTGCTTTGCCATAAGTAAAATTTTTGAGATTTCTGTTTTTGCTTGTTTATCAGGATTTTAAGGGTTGAATTTTGTTTATCCTGTGTTTTTTTTTTAAACCTTGAACTGTTCTATATAAACTTTGACATTTTGCCTGACCTTAACATGCTATCTAACTTTGTCCTTGTAGAGGTGGTTGCTGATGACACTCCAGCTATCACTGCAGTGCTGAATGCAGACAAGAAGCGTCTGGCTTTGCTAGCAGAAGAGAAACATTTGATGAATGCTTTGTCAGATGGCTCTCAGGAAGTTAGGGACAAATTGAAAGAGGTGGGACAAATAGTTATGTTTTATATGCCATGGTTAATTTTTTAATTTGTTCAAAATTTTCAAATGTTTTTCATGTCAGAAGATATGCAAGCTGTTGGAGCAAAAAATAATAAATCCACATATGCAGATATGCATGGTGACGGCAAATTAGCCAGCTGTTAATAAATTTAAAAGTATATCAAATGCATATATTATGTGTATACTACAGGTATCTGAAGAATTACAAGCCATAGGAGCAGACTCAGCTGAGCCCAGAGCAAGGAGAATCCTGGCAGGTCTGGGGTTCACCAAGGAGATGCAGGAAAGACCAACAAAACACTTTTCTGGAGGTTGGAGGATGAGAGTCTCCTTAGCTAGGTATGACTAAAGAGACATGATCAGGTGACCAAGGTGTGTGTGTGTGTGGGGGGGGGGGATGTGTGTGCAGGGTACATTATATGAGCACAGCCTTGCAGGCTGGCAAAGATTCTGTTCTAGTGATATCTGTGAATGTGTGTCTTTTAATGTTTTGATAATTTTGACAGTGAGTTTTTTATTGCATGTGTGTAAGAAGTGTTCTGGCCTACCATTTCATTATCCTGCTTAGAATAATTTACAAGGAATTTTGCACTGGGATGCTGTTATTGAATCTNAAAAAAAAAAAAAAAAAAAAAAAAAAAAAAAAAAAAAAAAAAAAAAAAAAAAAAAAAAAAAAAACAGCAGCCTTGTCACTGTCTGTCCAGTTGAGATTGGTTTTGAAAGAAATGTTAAGAAATTCGGTGACGTTCTTCAAGTGTGCCTTAAAAGAAAAATGCATGCATGTTATTTTAATACAGCTTAAAAGCTGTATTTGGATCTTGAAAAGCCTGCATTTCCTGCCTACATAAAAAAAGAAAAATAAATAAATAAAATAAAAAAGATGAGAAATCCACTCTTAATGGTAAGAGTGGCTGGACAGTTACATCTTGAAAACAGATTTCAGTATATTTTTTAAATATATTTAAATATAATTTTGCATACGAACGTAGGCCTTGATCTTAAATTTCTCAATTTTTGCTTGACTAATAAGGTGCAGGATGATAGAGAAATCACGATCAAGCAAATGTTTCATTATTATTATTATTATTATTATTATTATTATTATTATTATTATTATTATTATTATTATTATTATTATTCAAGTATAATAAAAAGTTAACTGAAAAAACAAACAAGTTTCGAAAGCAAATAACGTAAGTTATTAATATTATTTTTTATTTGGGGGCTCCACCGAGTGGGGGCTCCACATGTCTCGTTTTGGCTGTTCCCACAACTGAGCATGTGCATAAACCAACGTGGTGAAATCTTCCGGTTATCATTGCTGTGGAAGAAAGTTGGCATATTTTGGCAAATATATCGGTGGCTTTCTCATCAAAATCATAATTACCAGATTCGCCACGTGAGGATATAATATTAATTTATCAGAAGGCGAAGAAATGCCGAAGAAAGGCAAGAAAGGCAAAACGAAGGATGACTGGCCGGAGGACGAAGCCGAACTGGCCGAGAAAATGAACACATTGTCCACCGGCGAAGACACGAAGAAGAAAAAGAAAAGTAAAAAACTCCAATCTCTCAAAGATGACATTGAAGACGATGATGACGATTTAAAACTTGTCGAAAGGCCCGAAAAGGATGCTAAGAGTGCGGGTGATGTCAATGACTCGAAGTCGAAAAAGAGTGGAAATAATGAAGAGGACGACGAAGATGAAAAGTCTGACGAGGAGAAGGAGTTTGATGAGATGTATAATAGTGACGTGGAGAAGGAGGAGGAGGCAAAAGGTAAGAGTAGTAGATATTTAGAATGGACGACTAGGACATCTGTGGACGCCTGGGACTAAGACTAGACTGATTTGATCAAGGGTTCCTTCTGAGTTAAATGCATGTGGCATCTCACGTACATTCCATATGCCGGCAAATATTTTTCTGCCCTCTGTGATCACTCTCAGATGTTACATTGATTGGTTAATCAACCTGACCTTACTCCGACAATGATCCCAAAACCCAGTGAAGTATTTTGTAAAAATAAATTCAACAAAACCACCACTTCCACCCCATATAGATCATTAAATATTGGATGTTTATGAAACACAATCTTGGGAAATAAGAGATAAAATCCAAATAAAATAAAAGCAGACAATGGATCTCTCTCAAAATTGGTACTGTAAACTTGTTTGTTTGTAAATCAAAGGTATCAAAATTCCAGAATCAGACCTAAATGCCTTTGTTGAACAAAAACATTTTTATGGAGTTTTATTCCAGGACTTGGCAAAACCAGATTGTTTATACCAGTCCAGTGGCACACCTCATAATTTTTGTACAGCCAGTTCCACCTCAACTCAGAGCCTACTTTATTGAGCCTTTGATGGGTCAACATTAAATTTTAATTTTGCGTTATTTGTTCCCATTTCAGATGACACAGCTGCCACTGCTAAACTGAGCAAAAAAGAACTGAAAAAATTGAAAAAACAGGTAAATAATGGGTCATTGTCAATCATGTTGTCATGCCCAACACAAATGATGTGACACCAGATAGATTTGTGATGTAATAGTATTTTCATTAATATACAGTTTTTTAGTAACCTTCATGAACTTTCAGACATTTGATGCAAATATTAACAATCATGTCCAGCAGTTTTGAAAACACCTAGCTTACAAAATGACCAAGACAAAAATTTAACAGTGAAGACAAAGAGAAGCTTTAGAAAAAGAGTCGAGCAAACCAACAGCTTGCCACAAAGATATATCTGTGTGTGTAATCACTGTAATGTTTTTTTTTTTTTGTCTGCAGGAAGAATATAAGAAACAGCTAGAAAATATGGGAGACAATGAGCAGTTCTCACTGTCCCAGGCAGAGTCATCTGCCAAGGGAGCCATCTTGGAAGGGCAAACTGATATTAAGGTAGGCATTAAGATGTGTTGTTTTCCTATCCTTGACATTGAGGTTTGGTGGCTCTTATGGACTCCGTTATATTCTAACCAGTAACGATATGATTTTAAGATATTTCATAAATCTGGCCCAAGGCCCAAGGTTGATTCCCTAGGGATTATCCTGACTTCAACCTTGTATAGCATAGGGATAGAATAGGCAGAATTGTTGAATTACCTGTCCATTTGATTACACACCAGAGACTGTGAATTTCCCCATTTGTTTGGGCATTTAGGATTGATCAGTTGAGTTTTCATCAGTTTCAGTTCTAGCAATCATTAATCATAATCTTTTCTAGGTTGAAAACTTTTCTATCTCTGCTAGAGGTCAGGAACTTTTTGTGAATGCAACGTTGAATATTGTTGCCAACAGAAGATATGGTCTTGTAGGACCTAATGGGTATGTCATGCACAAGCGTATGCACATGCGTGCACACACATACACGTCTTCACACACATTCTTGCAGACACTTGATTAATGATGATGATGTACTTAAATGACACATCCATTGATTTCTGTGATATCAGGATGAAATATTGCCAAATTGTCATTGAAACAATTTTTTTCCCGAAATTTGAAAATTATCAACGAATCTTCAAAAACCTTTTTCTCTAACGCCAAAATGATAGTAAGACAACTACAATTTATCTGTTATTAATGATTGGATGCCGTGTGACTTGTGTGTGTGTAATTACTGTGTATTTTCACTCTCCAGACACGGTAAAACCACTTTGCTCAAACACATAGCCAGCAGAGCTCTGAAGATCCCACCCAAGATTGATGTCCTGCTTTGTGAACAGGGTGAGTTGAGTGCAACACAGGTTGAATGCTATCGTTGAACAAATCTTTGTGTCATTGGGAAAATAGATGTTTTCAGTAATCATAGATGTTTAAAAAATTCGGATAGTCAGGTGAATCATTGTTGAAAGCTTTGAATGTTAGCCTATCTTTGCTAGCTCACTTGCCACAAGGACTTCTTTGCCATAAGTAAAATTTTTGAGATTTCTGTTTTTGCTTGTTTATCAGCATTTTAAGTTTTGAATTTTGTTTATCCTGTGTTTTTTTAAAACCTTGATCTGTTCTATATAAACTTTGACATTTTGTCTGACCTTAACATGCTATCTAACTTTGTCCTTGTAGAGGTGGTTGCTGATGACACTCCAGCTATCACTGCAGTGCTGAATGCAGACAAGAAACGTCTGGCTTTGCTAGCAGAAGAGAAACATTTGATGAATGCTTTGTCAGAGGGCTCCCAGGAAATTAGGGACAAATTGAAAGAGGTGGGACAAATAGTTATGTTTTATATGCCATGGTTAATTTTTTAATTTGTCCAAAATTTTCAAATGTTTTTCATGTCAGAAGATATGCAAGCTGTTGGAGCAAAAAATAATAAATCCACATATGCAGATATGCATGGTGACGGCAAATTAGCCAGCAGTTAATAAATTTAAAAGTATATCAAATGCATATATTATGTGTATACTACAGGTATCTGAAGAATTACAAGCCATAGGAGCAGATTCAGCTGAGCCTAGAGCAAGGAGAATCCTGGCAGGTCTAGGGTTCACCAAGGAGATGCAGGAAAGACCAACAAAACACTTTTCTGGAGGTTGGAGGATGAGAGTCTCCTTAGCTAGGTATGACTAAAGAGACATGATCAGGTGACCAAGGTGTGTGTGTGTGTGTGTGTGGGGGGGGGGGGGGGGGGATGAGTGTGCAGGGTACATTATATGAGCACAGCCTTGCAGGCTGGCAAAGATTCTGTTCTAGTGATATCTGTGAATGTGTGTCTTTTAATGTTTTGTTAATTTTGACAGTGAGTTTTTTATTGCATGTGTGTAAGAAGTGTTCTGGCCTACCATTTCATTATCCTGCTTAGAATAATTTACAAGGAATTTTGCACTGGGATGCTGTTATTGAATCTTTTTTAATCTAATAAAATTTAATCTAATGAAATTTTGTGTTGTGCTAAATGATGTAAAAAATAATATGACTGTAAACATTTTCCTTATAGGGCTTTGTTTTTGGAGCCAACATTGCTACTTCTTGATGAGCCCACAAATCATTTGGATTTGAATGCAGTCATCTGGTTGGACAAGTAAGTGGACATATATCTTTGCCATGGTTTACTGAGTCATGGTTCATGAAGTGTTTCATAACATTGTAGCTTATTCATTTAAATGCAAAAAAACTGTAATATTTACTAATTTGGAAAGACCAATCATGTATGCCAGTTTCAAAAACTTCAAGTTGTAACTGCTGACATCATATCTGTAAACAATGCTTAATAGATGCTGGCATAGCCTACAAAAGCTGTTACAGTAATGTTGTGGAAAAAGAATATGGTTGAATATAACACTTACATTTATGTTGAATCATTACAAAAGATGGTGTATCTCTGTAGAAATACAATTTGTTTATTGTTTATTGTTTTGCTTGTCTTACAGTTATCTTCAGAACTGGAAGAAGACACTTTTGGTGGTATCTCATGACCAGAGTTTCTTAGATAACGTTTGCACTGACATCATCCACTTGGACCAGCAAAAGTTGTTCTATTACAGAGGAAATTATGGTTAGTACTGCGTCACCTTTAGTACAGTCATGTGGGAAACAACCAGTATTGTTTATTTATATACTTCGGTATTTCAAGAATCTTGAAATTGCATGGGTCCGCGGAATGAGGATTTAAACCATGCACATTCCAAGATAGTATTTTTAAAACTGAATCATCACTAATGAACATTTGCCCTGGGCTTATCTAGCTAGATCTTTTCTACAGTATGCACTATATGAGAATGTACAGAGGAAAGAGGGTCTCTCTCGGTTTAATATCAGCAATGGTGTTCTGGTTATACTATTGAGAAATGGTGGGAGGTAAGCATCCATCTCTTTCCTTTGAGCTATTAGTTCAATTAGGCTCTTTCTTCACACAGCAACTTTCAAGAAAATGTTGGTCCAGAAGAGAAAAGAGCAGCTGAAAGATTATGAAAAACAGGAGAAGAGGTTGCGGGAAATGAAAAGCTCAGGAAAATCAACAAAGCAAGCTGTAAGTTGAAGAGAGGTTTTTGAATTTTTTAGAGAGGAACTCCATGCTTCATGCTAAACTTGTGATAATATTTTTAGGAAAAGAAATTATAGACCTAATGATTATTCTTTAAATATTGTCATTGAATATATTAATTGATTATACCTCTTGTTTCTCTGTAGGAAAAGACTCAGAAAGAAGCTCTGACCAGGAAACAAGCCAAGAACAAGGCCAAGATGACGACTAGTATGCAAGAGGAGGATAAGAAGACAGAGCTTCTCAAGAGACCTAAAGACTACACTGTGAAGTTTACCTTCCCCAACCCTCCCCCTCTTAATCCTCCCATACTTGGCTTGCATGGTGAGGAAATATGGATGTTCATCTCTTTTAAATGTTGTTACTTTTCAAAAAAGGCCTGAGAGAAGATGTATATTGAGTCTTTGATAAAATGTTAAATGACTTGAATACAGCTATTAATAATGAAAAAAGCTGTCAACCGTATTCCTTTGGTAGGCAAAAGGGCCAAAATTTGTTGACTGAAAGTCACTTACTTAAAATGATTGGATGTAAAAACATGGTGATGAAAACATTTTTAATAGTCTGTATATAGTATCATATCATGCACCATTTTTGTGAGGTGCTTGATGGCAGAGTGCTGCCACCTGGTAATTAAAGAAGGTCATGAACTTCACATCTTTGGTCAAATTTTATGTTTTATTCTTGCTGTGGTCACTAAGCACATAGAGGCTGGAAGCAGGAGGATAAATACTTGGAAACAATATTGATTTTGCCAATCATCAGCTTACCTCATCATTCATGTAATACTTTTTTTTTTTGCTTCCCATTTCAGATGTAACATTTGGGTATGACCCAGAGAAGCCAATCTTTAAGGACCTAAACTTTGGAATTGACTTGAGTTCTAGAAGTAAGTTTGAATGTATTGCCTGAATGTTGCTTTCATTTTCTATCCAACATGTGTGTCTTTAAACCTTTTTGTATACATTTTCTGTATTACTAATTTACTGTATTACTGCATGGTATTGTGTATCAACATAAACATCATTACACTGATAATTATGGTTAAAATGATTTGTTTCACTTTAATTTGAAGCATGAATTTGGTTTAGAGGTAAAACTAAACTGTAGGTATTTCCACAGTTTCTCTGTCATGTTATTTTACTCACAAATGCTATTTGTTTTGCAGTCGCTATTGTTGGTCCAAATGGGGTGGGCAAAAGTACATTTCTGAAACTTCTTGTAGGAACTTTAACACCAGTGAGTAACTTGTAGAAATTTTTGTACTTTATAAAGAAAAATTAATTGTCAATAGTTCAACACTACAGTAGGCTATAACTGCATACATAACATTATACTATTATAATATTAAATTGGACTATTATTATAATGTTTTAACTATTTTTATCTCTTTTGAAGCATCTATAACATCTTTTTAATTGATGAAATGAAATGTGTGAAAAAAGATGGGAATCACTGATTGCCTATTTATTATTTTGCTTATATCTACTTTAGCAACAAGGTGAAATGAGAAAAAACCACAGGCTGGTAAGTGATACAAACAAATTGGCAACATGAAGAGGTTTCACATTCATCATCAGGATATACTTGTCTTGTTAATAATGAATCTCTAGTATTTCTTTCTTATTTTTGCCTTTCATGCAAGTTCAGAGTTATCGAATATTCATTATAGGGTATGTTTTTATGGCTTATAACTAAATGGAAGTGCTGTATATCGTTTGCCAAGGTTAGCCATAACCCATCATCTGACTGAATGTTCTGTTTGTATCAAGCAGTTCTTTTTGTGTATTTCAGAGGATAGGTAAATATGACCAGCACTCTGGTGAACAGTTGAATCTAGAGGAAACTCCAGTGGAGTACTTGAGGGTAAGCAGCAACTTTTTACTTCTCAAGTATCTTTTCTTTATAACCCAAATTGAAAGATGTATTTTTTGCTTTAAATAATTGGAATAATGCAGCGAGAGTGAGTCACCTGTAAAGTTATCTGACTGGTACTGCGCGAAAGCGTTTGTTAAGTATGAACATGACAATTATTGAAGGCAGGGCTAGATCATTTAGTTCTGTAATGGTTTCTACTATTCACCAAATCCATTTGTCAAAATGAAAAGAAATCAATTTACTTTGGTTGAAACTAATCGCGTTTAGTATGAGACAAAATATCCATATGTTAGCCTGGACTTAACAAATATTTAGTCGAACCTTTCATTCCAACTTGCAGGGTAAAAAATCTGCATAATTTGTTGTGCCTTGGTAAAAATCAGCACTTTTTGGCAAACTCATTTATGCAAAGAATAGGAATATTAATAAGTATGAATAACTCAACATGATAACCACTTTTTGTAGTATCATCTGTCATATATTAATTCATATCATATTATATTATACAGGTATCTATTTTGATGTATTTTCCAGAGATTATTTAACTTAGATTATCAGGAGGCCAGGAAGACCCTGGGGAGGTTTGGTCTTGCTAGTCATGCCCACGTTATCAAGATTAAGGATCTGTCAGGAGGACAGAAATCCAGGGTCGCCTTTGCCGAGCTCGTCTGTAGAGCTCCAGATGTTGTCATACTGGTAAATATTGGGTGGTGGCGGGGGGGGGGGGGGGGGAAGGGGGGGGGGGCAGGGGGGGGGGAGGGCTGACATCCAGTGTAACCATTGATAACTGGTGTTTGCTTATCTTGCCTTTGTTGCTGCAGATTATGATTACATCAAATAAGGTGTCAAGATTTATTATGTGTGTTAAATTTAGATGTAATGTATAAAATTAGGAGTAAAGAAGTGGTCTATTGCTTTCAAAATAACTTGTCAAAGGCACATTAAATCAGTTACAGTTTTAATCTCTAGAAAGAAAGAACAATTGACATTATGATATTAATTTGTTTAGAGATGTAGAAGTCTTTGTGTAATTCCTTTCTTTTTTGCATGCTCCAGGATGAACCTACTAACAACTTAGATCTGGAGTCCATTGATGCTTTGGCAGATGCTATGAATGTGTATGAAGGAGGTAAGAAGTTTTTAAGAGTCAGTTATTGATGAAAAATAATGATATATGAATCAAATGACAGGACACATATTTAATTAGTTTTAAGATTTTTATGTCAAATTAAAATATAAAAGAATATGCTTTTATTGTACTGGATATATAAAAATAAAATCTCTTTGTAGCAATAGAAAGCCACAGTCAACTGTTGTATGTGGCAAAATGTTATTCCTGTTTTATTACTCACAAAGACCTACAAATAACTGTCACAAAACTGAATTTTGTAGTTGGGGCATGATGATGACTACTGATAAATTCCTTGCAGGTATGGTGATTGTGAGTCACGACGAGCGTCTGATCAGAGAAACGGAATGTCAGCTGTGGGTGGTCGAGGATGGAAATATTTCTGAGATCGAAGGAGACTTTGACGACTACAGAAAGGAAATCCTAGAAGCTCTAGGCGAGGAAGTGATGAATGCAAAACCCAGGGATGTTTAGCACATGTGGATAAGGAGATTTTATTTCTTTATTTATTTATAAAATTTATTTATTTTTTTGATTGGGGGGGGGGGGGGGGGAATCACTTGGCTGTTGTCAATGTGCAGTGACAATAGGGGTTGAAGGGCATCAACAATGAAAAACTAAAACTTGGCAGTATTTGGAGATGAAGATATATTTAAGATCTTTGAAACCGTGTACGAGGTTATTATTCATGGAATGGAATGCCAGTATCCAAATTAATCATGAGATGTTACCTACAGGAACACTTTCATAGTAGGAAGAGGAGCAATGAAATTCATTTAAATTTTGTGATAAATTTGTAAATTGCATGCAGAAGTTGAGTTATACTTTTTTTTTCTAATTTTGCTTTTATCCAGGAATAATTTTTTTTTTGTTTTTTATTATCTAAATGATGAGAATATTTGAATGTTGTTTTCTCAGAGAAATGTTACAAGAAAGAGCAATTATGAGATATTAGGATTGTAACCACAATATAAGACTGGCATTGAAGAAAAATAAAAACTAAAACCATATTCACATTGTTGTTGATTTTATTCTCAAGCAAAATTTACCTGAAATACATGATGCTGCAGCAAAATTATCACTCCTTGGAAGTTACACGTTTATTTTCTGCAATGTCAATATCAGGGGCATAAAAGCTGTTGGGAGTAAAATATTTCAATGTTTGAATTTGGCTTTCCTAAAATGTAACAAATACAACTGATCAAGTGTCTTGAAAATTGACAACATATTCAGAACTTGGGGTAAATCCAAAATGAAGAAAAAAAAATAGGTGCAAACATTCACCTACTTGGAAGTGTTTAACCTTTTATTAAATCATGAAGGTCGTTTATTCATATCTCCAAATGAATTCCATGAAAGTTGTGTGTAACTACAAGTTGGCATCTACTGTCCAGTTCCACTTAATACCATGAATCCTTCATAGGACCATACCATCCCCACCATACATGACTGAAACTTGGTATGTTGTTAAAATACCTGCTGCGAGTGAGAACATTCCAACCTGTAATTGTTTGCCAATGAAGTAATGTGTCATGATGCCACTCCATCCTTATTGTGGTTTCTTTGCCATTCCTTGTTTTTCTCCTAACCTACTAGACAGCGTGGCTGCCCGCTGTGATCTCTTGATGTATGCGCCAAGTGCTGTTGACGAAGGTTCTACTCGAAACTGTTTGTACCATGAGTAAGATGTCAGTATAGCCAAGGAAAGCCTGATGTGGAAAATAAGCTAATTAAGGCAAATGATATGGGGATATATATTAAAAGGTGGGAAAACATGAAAAGCACTTATATATATCCTAAATTTAGGATTTTCCTGCCAAATTATATTTTCCACAAAAAAAAAAAAGTAATTTAAAAACCTCAGTAAAAACCTCTGGTATAAATAAATAAATACTTAAATATAATATAAGCACAACTTACCAAATTTTAACTTAAAAGCAACCATGTATAATTTTTTAATTAAGAGAATGTCACCTTACCAAATTAATATATACGAGAAGTGGTCATTGCGAACTTTCACCCTGGTCTGGCCACCAACAGGACCTTCTTCCACTGTAGAGTCTACAAATGACACAATATAAATATACTAAATATTAAGAGCTCAATCTCAATCTTTTCAATAGGCATTTACTGCAAAGAATTGTATCATAGAGTGGCCTGCTATTTAATTTTGTTGCAACCACTCAATAGGAATGCTCTTATTTTAAATACTATGACTTCAAAAAATACAATATCTTTAAAATTCAAAATTTTCCCCCACTGAAAAGATCCAAGTATTTACTGTATGTCAATCGTAATATCCAAATATATTTCAAGCAGAATGATGACAAAAAAGTCTAACATAGACAACTCCAGTCTATCATTCACCATTTAACAATAAATACTATAATTTTACCAGCACCATGTACCTGGCATTATGTGATTACAATATTTATCTCATATTTTAAAACAATAAGATTACTAGACTGAGGAGGTTTTGGGACATTGGGCTGATATCTTTACTTTAAGCCAAAGACCAAGAAATGGCAAGACCCCACTCCTGTTCTCCTGGGGCTGGTCTGTCTGTCACTCACTCACTCACTCACACACTCACACACACACACTCACTCACTCACACACACACACACACACACACACACACACACACACACACACACACACACACACACACACATGTTCTTAACTTTAAAAACCCAATCATTGTCAAAGTGGTCTACTTTTATTCAGGGTAAATCTTTAAAGCCCACTAAAATACATAAATCATTAGTCTTAAATAGTAGCCACCTGTTTTGTTTTACATTATACCAATAATACAATTGAATGGACTATAACGGATTTATATTGGGTCAGTGCTAGGCCTTTATTTCTCTTGGAGCCAGCCATGTCTGTAAAACAAATCTGGGGAAACTTTCACCAAATCAAAGACCTGGGCCCCGTAACTCGAAAGCATCGCACGTCCGAGCGCAAACGTCTTGATTCCATAACTTGCCCATACTTGCCCCATATAATGCACGTGCTGCTTTTGAGTTACGGGGCCCTGGTCAACCTTAACCTAGCTATGGCCTTGGTGGAATCAATCTTACCTGCATCAGCACTGAGGCAGACTGGGGCAGTGTTCAGATAATGGGCTATCTCATCTACATCCAGAACCAGAAAGCGGACTGCTTCATAGTCACTTTTCACTGTTTTTGTATACATGTTTGATGACGCATACCTGGATTTCTGAAGAAAAAAATGCTGATTTATTAACCAATGAAATGAAATTATAATATATTATCATCCTTGCTTTTTAGAGCCCATGGAATCTCAGTTACCTGGAGAATAGGTGCCAGTGTGTGTGTGTGTGTGTGTGTGTGTGTGTGTGTGTGTGTGTGTGTGTGTAAGGGGAACAGTCTTGGAAGGCTGGGACCATATTTTCCTAAAGGATCTACACTTCTACCACTTGTCTTGACATGTTTTACTTACTATGATCTGTTATTTTCCTCATTAAAGTGTCATCCAGTAAACAAAATGTGTTGGCATTATAGGAAAAGCATCTTGCAAATTGAATTTTTTTTTAAAGAATGTTTTCTTGCACTTCCTTATTTGTGCCATCACACTCAATTGTGTTGTAGTCTCAACTAACACATTTCCCTTCACTACATAGGTAGAAAACTACTCCTACCCATTTCAAATAAACCACACCTAACATTTTTTCATAGTTTTATACTTTCATAGGTTTTTTAAAGTCTCATTTGGAGAAAACTTTTCAGTACTGTCAAATCTTATTTTGAATTATTTCCAGTTTATTTTTGACTGACTTTACCAGGTAAAAATTCAAGGTGAACACATAAAACATTCAGTTCTATTGACATGAACTTACTTTCTCTGCATGTTTCACCAATCCAACCAATTCCACTTCACCTTCAACCTGTAATACCACAAAATAAATAATCTTGTTATGGTAAATATTGTAGTTCACTGGTAATATGTTGGGACAGAAAGAATACGGTTTGAATTTTAAGTATTTTAAGGTTTACAACTGTCAATCCAGGCATGTGACTATCCCATTTCCATTTAGCACTATGACATTCTCCCTTTCTGTTCAAATGGTTCTCATTTTCGGTCAACTTCACACATATCTTTGACATTATGGATCAAGCTTGAATTACATATTATATTGAGTATATGTTGACTTCTCTCCATACCATTGATCTCTACAAGATAAGCTTGCTCTCGGCTATAAATGTTAGCCCTCTTTTCTCTTAACAAACATAAAATGCCATGCCTGGCAAAGGATGTGGCAGTATTTCAAGAAGTGTCAACCTATCTTCAATGTAAACATGGCCTTTATAGACTTCAATTTTCAAGTGAAAAACCTAAAAAAAAAGTCATTCCGCCTGGTACAACTTGTCTTCAAGCAGTGCCACTTGTGACAAATTCCAAACAGTTAGAATGATAGATTACAGTGGATCAGAAAAGGATCCCATTTCATCAGATACTTTATATCAGTTTCATACATTAGCCTTATATTAGAAAAAGCTAATATCAGGCAATTTTTTCAGGGTCAATGAAGTGAGATGTGATTGCCTGTGAGCCAACTTCATATAATATGATCACTATGGCAGGGAGAGGCTGAGTTACCGCTTACTCTACCCAAATTTATTTTTCATGTACAAAAAGACAAAACCATTGCTGCCAGTTACCCCTAGGACCTGAAATTTTAATGATCTGACTATCATCAAAACCTACTATGTTGCCTTTAAGCTAGTTAATATTTTGTTCAAGCTAAAAATATTCATCAAGTCATCGAAAAAATGTCAAAAAACAAAACAAACAAAAAAAAACTATCAAGTGTTTATTATTTTCTTTAATTTAAGTCTTCATTTTCATTTTCAGGATGTGGCAAAATTCCAACAAGTTAGCCAGTGTTCTCCCACCTATCTCACGCTGACTGAGCAGATTTTGAACCTTATCTTCCGCCACCGGTGCAACACGAGAAAAGCTTAATTTCCATTTATTTTGCACATGACACATTCAGTTAATGTGATATGTCTATTGCGATAGCTCAGGAGTCTGTGAAGCAAAACATATGTGACTTTTCTAAAATAAAATAATGCATTTCAAGCCCCAGATATCCCACAGAAAACAGAACAATTTATGATGTCTAAACATAGAAGTTTCAAGAACAAAGATGAATATCTTTACTTTGAAGCTTTTGCCTCATGTTTTCATAACAGATACAGCAAATGAGCAAATTTCATTTCAGAGCTGTCGTTTTGTTTTTAGAGATAACTCTTCAAGAAGTTGTGTTCAGAAGTTCACCAATTCTTTTTTTCTGAGTTCATCCATTTTCTAAAATTACAAAAATGCATTTCAAGCCCCAGATATCCCACAGAAAACGGAACAATTTCTGATGTCTAAACATAGAAGATTCTAGAAAAAAAGATCATATTAAATAATTTCACTTTGAAGCTTTTGCCTCCTGTTTTTCTAACAGATGAAGCAAACAAGCAAATTTCATTTCAGAACTGTTGTTTTGCTTTTATAGACAACTCTTCAAAACATGGGTGTTCAAAAGTTAGTCAATTCTTTTTTCATTTCATCCCTTACAAAGTTTTACAGTATAAAATGGAAGATTCAGACAGGTATTTATTATAGTGAGCAATATTAATGTGTTCAGAGACCAATAAATCAAAAATAAAAATGATCTGTCTTTATGCAATACAAAAACAATCTAATTAAGACTAAAAACAACATGTAAATTACAACAGGGCTGTATATATTTCAAGTATATCATTTTCCTCATATTTTATATATCTATCTAAAAAGACAACAGTGTGATACACATCCTTCCTAGCAGACATGGTATATGTCCTTTACAAGTATACGTGAAACCCCTTCTCTTCTCCCTCTCTCAACTTTTGCTGCACTAATGACTTTAGAAAAAATTCAAACCTTGTTTACTACAAACCATGTCTTTAAATCTGTAAATGATATGAAGTAAATATATTTTAAAGAATACACCTAAGTTCAATATACAATCTGAGTTAAACAGATTTGGTATTGTCGGTTACACAGCACGATTTGCATCTGCACATTTATCTTTCTAAAGAAACAATCCTCCTCCATCTTTCTGTAAATGTGTAATCCTCGTGTCAGTTCAGACGGCACATGCCATAGTGGTATGCTTTTGTAAGCTTAAACAACATAAACTAGTCATTGATAGATCCATTTCCACGTTGAAATGTGAGCATTTAATGCAACTTTATGTCATACTTGAACACGGAGAGGGCTCATTAGGCTCACTTATACCACAGCAGCAGGGAGTGGTTTGAAGACGGATCTCTTAAATTTCTCTGAAAATAACAGAGCTCTACTATTGTGTCAGTAATCTCTGAAAATCACCTGCTGAAGGAAGATTTACCACACACAATTCTTACCAGTGGAATTTAACTATCAAATATTATGCCATTTCTTTTTTTTTTCACATTTGAGGCATTTAGTATTTATCATAAATAATCTAAAACTTAGAAAAATGCTTTCAAAACCAAGACCATGTAAATGAAATCCTCAATATATATATATCCATTGGCAAATTTTTTATACAAAATACTTTTTAGTCACACCATACCTCTCTTCCATCGTTGTGCATCTACCTCCTCTTTGGTTTAATAAAAAGTTCATTTATCTATCAATTCATATCATAAAGAAAATTAATCCTTTGATGTTTATGTACCTATTACAGAATATATTTTTCCAAATTAGATATTTAAAATAATTAAAACTTATAATTTTTATTGAAAAGGCGTAATTGGTATTTAACATTTTCACAATATATATCCAGTAAAAAAATAAAAGGTACTCCTTTGATGAATGGGAATACACTAAATTAAAGCTGTTTTTTTCTAAAGATACTTGTCCATTCCCCTAAAGCCTCATGTCAAAGAGTGCGTTAATATGAATACATATAGAATAATAATTTTTATTATTGTTAAAATTTGTTGAGAAAAAATGAATTAAATTTAGATCATGATAAGAGAAATTATCTAAATTGTTTTTTTTTTTTTTTCAAGTAAATGAGCACAACAGTTCAAAGGAATACCAACAAAAAAGAGAACCATGGCAATATATTAAAACCATCTTTTTTCATGCTAAGACTAAATTGCAGTGTTGTGCATTTATCTATATCTTAATGATAAAAATATGATTGGTGATCGATTTCAAGTTACTCAGCAACTTAGTTATATTATTATGTTTCAGTTTTACAATGCTAAACAAAACATCTTACCAGGAAGGAAGAGTTCTTCCAGAAAATTGCTCATAAATTATTTTAAGGGATGCCCAGTATTTTTCTCATTCATACTTTTGCTCTTAAAAGTTTTAAACCATTCCCCCTTTCCCAAAGTTCTTCAAGAGAGTAAGATGCATATTCTCTCTCTTTAATAAAAAGTTTGACACAAGCAACAGATGAAAAACACTCTAGAGTGTAAAAAAAAAAAAAAACGGAAAAATGATATAAGTACAACTTAACTGTTATTTGTTTACAACTGCATTATTAGTCATCTTTTTTCATTAAAGTGTTATATATAATGTGAATGTTATATATAATGCTTTAAAAGTCACACCTCATCTTTCATTTTTGAGCCAAGAAACGCAAATAAACCCACATACATATAAATTTACCATCCAACATCCTAAATTTTGAAAATTGAAGAAACCAAATAGCATCTATCTACATTTTCAGTCAAACTTTGATTCAAGTTTTTTTTCAACCTTTACAAAATAGCTTTTAAAAGAAGTACATAAAACCCGAGCCCTTTTCTTTTGCAGCTTGAACCAGTATAGGCCAGTGTTAACAAGCTCACTTAGGTGTCCATTTTCCTCTCAACCCTCCATCTGAGGGGTTAATTATAGTGTCTCCTTACCACTCCAGTGACAGTCAAGTGACTGTGACCATGTTGGAGCATGCTGCTCTGACCTCCCAGGACTAAAATGTGTCCCCGTCAGGACAAGTGTTGTTTACATCTCTATGAGTACATCTCGACTCACGCATGCTTTTACAAACTTTTTTTCAATTTGGCTTAAGAAAATACAATTGCTTTTGGCAATTAATTAGTGACTTAGATAGGAAATAACATAATTTACTGAGATCTCTGGATGATTATGTTTCATTTTTTCAAGTTCACTTAATTATTCAGATTTTTTCAGCTAAAACGGGAAATTTTCACTTGGTGGAAAATACATGTTAAATAAAGAATTATGCTGTATTTTGAAACAAAATGAAAGAAGTGCCAAATTAACTTCGAAAGCATTTCCTCTAATTTCCAAGTAATTTAAGCTGACAAAAAATTATAAACAATCTAATATCCCTTCTGTTGACAATACTGCAAGTTACACAAGGAAACACTATCTTTGTGTTATCATCTGCAACAAATGTTGACATAAAGGACAATTTTTGCACCACAGGATCTTTACAACAATTGATGCTACAGTACAACACACACAGTGCCATCTTATCAAGATCTATACAATTTCAGCTCTAAAATTACAAAACAGTGGCAATCAATGTTTTGCTTTAAACTCTTCTCTACTTCATCTTTCTCTCTTCCATACAGAATACAAGCAGTATTACTACTCTGTGGTTTGTTCTGTGGTTTTAACTACTGTGAGAAAAGTTGCATTTTTATTCCAGTACGGAGGGTTCAGGCAGTTAAATCCCTATACCTCCCTGAACCATTACTCCCCCACAATGTTACTCCCCAAGGACAACCAAAGTGACATATGAAATATAACCCTTAATTTTAAGACTTTACTGCCAATACTAAGACACAAGTTTTTTTTAATTTGAAATATCCTCAAAAACTGATGAGAGGAAGTAAAGTTGCTGAGGAGTATCGATGTGGGCAATATCAAAATTATGCTTGGGGG